TATTCTTCAAACTTGAAGATAAGATTCAAACTTTGAATTACAAAAGTCTACACTACTATCGCAACCTTTAGAAACAAACAAAAAAAAGTTTCGGAAATTTACAACAAAAAATAATCTGACAATGGCATATTTTATTTCTAGCTATTTTCATTGAAAGCTTTACTATGTATTCATGCTATTGTGCATTGAAAGCTTTTTAAACCTATTTATATTTTATTTAGAGGTAAACTTACGAAAATTCTGTACCCTTTAAAAGAATAATTTAATTCAATTGACAATAAATGTAAATGTATTATATTTTGTAAGCTCGAGGTGAATGAACTGATCACGAACAGCGATCAAACCACACAAAACATTATAATCAATTAGATAATGGATTTAATGGATTCATTTCATACCCGATGTGTTGATGGCGGAGCTTAAGAGTCACATCTTTGGGCAGTTTCTCCAAAGCGTTGACTTTAGCGTCAAATTGAATGCTTTCGGAGTCCATAAGAAGCGCTGGTTATATAAATATGATTGCAATCGACAGGCAGTGTAGAGACAAACTCTTGTGTCTAATATATTAATTGTATGTGAAAAACGTGAATCGCATCGATAGTAATGGATGGGATGTCGAGCCCACTATTTATAGAAGGCATGTATCGCATAAAAAATCAATGATTGGTCGACAGCCTTAGTAACACCCGTTTATGTGTTGATTAATTGCGATCACGTATTGTAATGAGAAGATGAGATAAAAATGGGTCAAAACAACTCCGATAACAGATAACACGGGAGAGAGAGAGAGAGGGAGGGAGGGAGAGAGCGGGGCATCAATTGAGTGGAGAGTGTGAACGGTGTGTACACGCAGTGAGCGAATGATAGGCCAGTATTTGACTGATTGACGGATTGAAAGCCGGAGTGAATTGATATCCAGTTTAAAGTGGTTCTGCTTTTTATGAGTTTTTGGCGAAGGATTTAAGGCAAGGAAATTGAATTACTTATGAATTTGATGGACACGTATACGAAGGCGAACACAGAATTTTGTGTNTCACGGTGAACGGCACGTCCAACAACGACACGGGACGGGTGAACGCCTCCCTCGAGACGAAGTACTACTTCAGCGACTGGGGCTTCACGCTGAAGGAGAAGTGGAATACGGATAACACGTTGGCCACGGAGTTGTCGGTCGAGGATCAGCTGATTAAGGGCTCGAAGCTGGCGTTCAGCGCCAACTTCGCCCCCCAGAGCGGCAAAAAGGCGGGCACTTTGAAGTCGTCCCTAAAGGCCGACCACTTCAACGCCAACGCCGACATTGACTTCGACTACGGCGGCGCCCTCTTCCACGGATCAGCTACTCTGGGGTTTGCCATTCATTATGTCTTTTCACTCGCGATCACACCGTTTAGGGCTTTGATTTGATTTCATTGAATAGGTTTTCATTTCTCTCAATCGCTTACGTATTCATTATAGAGTTAACACAGAAATCAGATTCACTTTTATTTTATCACATTTTTCACATTTATCGCTACATTTAACATTTCACTCAGACTTTGCATTTGAATGCTATGTTTACACTAAACTTATTGTATATTTTGTGCTAACATTGAAGTCCATCGAGTGCCAGGTTTTGTATTATTTGCCGACAATGTCTTTTCACTCGCATTTGACATATCTCTGAATTCAATTGAGACACCGCTCCTAACAGTTACGTGTATTTTGCATTTGACAGACACCAGGGCTGGTTGGCGGGGGCGCAGCTGTCGTTTGACCCCCAGCAGAGCAAACTGACCAAAACGAACTTCGCGGTCGGCTATCAGGCCGGGGATTTCGTCCTCCACACCAATGTGTATGAAATGACTTGATTTTTTGGGCAACTGTTTTGCCATTAGAAGTGTAATAGTGTTGATGACTGTGTTGTTGGTGTATAGGAACGACGGTCAGGAGTTCACGGGATCGGTGTACCAGAAAGTGAACAGTCAGTTGGAGTCGGGCATCAACCTGGCCTGGACGTCGGGCAACAACACCACCCGATTCGGGTTGGGATGCATTTATAAATTAGATTCCGATTCTTCCATCAAAGTATGTATAGATTGCGGTGTTTTTGTGGTATGCATTGATGTACTGATTATAACGACTGTGTATTTGTGGCCATACCTTAAGGGGAAAGTAAACAACGCGAGTCAGATCGGACTGGCCTTCACTCATAGACTACGGCCGGGCATAGCGCTGACGCTGAGCGCCATGATTGACGGCAAGAACTTCAATCAGGGCGGACACAAACTGGGAATGGGCTTCGATCTGGAGGCCTAAGCCCCTCAGCGATCAGTGTATCGTTTTAACACCCTTTTCCCCATTAAACTACAGTTTTAGACATATATATACGACAATTCGATGATTAGTTTTAACTTCTTTTAAGTAAAGATTATTATAATTAATTAATTAAATCCATAGACAACAGAGAGAATACAAATACTTTGGAAATCTTAAGAATCGATTATTATTTTATGTAACGCTTTGTGAAGAACTATATAAACTTTTTGTGCACTTATTGTTAAAATTAAATATGAAATTAAGAGGCGATTCGTAGAATTAAATCGTTAGTCAATTATTTTACAAAAAAATATTGCTTTAAAAAACAATACATTCGTGTCTTATATTACATACAAGAATCTATGAGCTATTGCTAGAACTGGACTCATAATTCCGGTCCTCATCTGAATTAATGCTCAGGCTTTCGGTCAATGAATTGAGCGATTCGTTGCTGGACTCCGAGGAATGGGATAACTGCGAGAGATAACTGAGTTTATTGTCTCGCGAATAGACTTCTTGAAGGATTTGATGAAATGTTTGCAGAAAGCGTTCGGCGTCTCCCATAGAGAAAACCATTGGCGGCTTGAATTTGAGTACATTTCCGTACTTTCCTTCAGTGCTCATCAAAATCTTCTCGTCTCGGAAACGGCTGACCATATACTCGGCCAAAGGAATGGCCGGTTCCTTAGTGTCGCGATTCACGACGAGCTCGACGCCGAGGAACAGGCCCTCACCCCTGACATCGCCGATCACTGGGTATTGATCTTTGTATGCCTTGAGTGCCTTCTTGAGATAGTTTCCCACTTTGACGGCGTGTTCCCTAAGATTCTCGTTTTCGATGACATCTAACACACCGTTAGCGATGGCCAGTGAGACGGGATTTCCGCCGTACTATTGGTCATGAAAAACATGGTTTTTGATTGCATTCACGTATTCAAGTCATACTGTATTGAAATATTCTGTTCCGATGTTCTCAAAACTTTTGGCAATTTCTGGTGTCGTGACAACACATGCTATCGGATGTCCGTTGCCAATAGGCTTGCCAATGGTCACGATGTCGGGCACAACATCCTGTGACTCAAATGCCCACATATTGCCGGTGCGACCAAAACCAACCTGGACTTCATCGGCGATACAGACACCACCGGCTTCGCGCACATACCTAATTAAGGTGTCTTAGAAACACTGCCAACACATTGTTCATTAAGAGGGCTTTACTTGTAGGCGGTCTTCAGGAAATGGTGGGGCAGTACTACTTGTCCGCCGCAACTGATCATTGATTCCGTAATAAATGCGGCGATATTTCTGCCAGAATTGTGGGCGTTATTGATCAGATTCTGCACTTCTTTGGCGTAAAGCATTCCGATCTCAGTCTCTGAATGCTTATCAGTCGTGTATTTGCCTCTGTATGAGCAGGGAAGTGGCACCTGTACGTCAAATTGATGTCATATATTAATTCTAAAGTTCTCGAGTCCACAAAGAATCAGATGTCATACCACGTGAACCCACTTCTTCTGCTTTCCGTCATTGATTTTCTTGAATTTATAGGACGATATGTCAATGATTGTGGTCAGATGGCCGTGATACGCGCTACCGGTGCGAATAAACAGTACATACATGTCATTGTGTATTCTTAACATGCAATTCCTGACAGGCATACCCGTCCAATGCAATAACATCCTTGTGTTTCGTGTGACATCTCGCCAAACGAATGGCTAAATCATTGGCTTCCGATCTGTTCTCATAAACAAAACGATAAGAAATGTATGAATATTTGCCAAAAGATTTGCTGTTTATTTGCTTTCGCTCTCAGACTATACCCGGAGTTCACGAAATAACAAACAGAGAGTTTGCTCGGGAAGTAAGAGGTCAGCCGTTTGGCATATATAACCAAATTGTCGTGAAGGTAGCGACTGTTTGTTGATATGAGTGCCATCTGATCCGCGCCCGCTTTCACGACGTGGGGGTGACAGTGACCCACATGCGCCACGTTGTTGATACAATCCAGGTACTCGTTGCCCTCCTCATCATACATGTACTGGCCCTCCCCTCTCACGATTTTGAGCGGATTTTGCTTGAAAAACAGTGTAACCGAAGCTCTATATTCAGATAAATAAGTTATAAGAAATTAATACTCTTGTGATTGCATTTGATAGGTATCCATAAATTGCAAAAACATTTGTCTCATGTTCAATGCATTCTGGATATTACCAGTGTATTTAATAATAATAATACTGTACGTATATTCAGTTTAATGGGATTTTATTTGAATTTCGTTTAAGTATAAAACAGTTTACTATTCTTCAAACTTGAAGATAAGATTCAAACTTTGAATTACAAAAGTCTACACTACTATCGCAACCTTTAGAAACAAACAAAAAAAAGTTTCGGAAATTTACAACAAAAAATAATCTGACAATGGCAAATTTTATTTCTAGCTATTTTCATTGAAAGCTTTACTATGTATTCATGCTATTGTGCATTGAAAGCTTTTTAAACCTATTAATATTTTATTTAGAGGTAAACTTACGAAAATTCTGTACCCTTTAAAAGAATAATTTAATTCAATTGACAATAAACATAAATGTATTATATTTGGTAGGCTCGAGGTGAATGAACTGATCAAGAACAGCGATCAAACCACACCAAACATTACAATCAATTAGATAATGGATTTAATGGATTGATTTCATACCCGATGTGTTGATGGCGGAGCTTAAGAGTCACATCTTTGGGCAGTTTCTCCAAAGCGTTGACTTTAGCGTCAAATTGAATGCTTTCGGAGTCCATAAGAAGCGCTGATTATATAAATATGATTGTAATCGACAGGCAGTGCAGAGACAAACTCTTGTGTCTAATATATTAATTGTATGAGAAAAACGTGAATCGCATCGATAGTAATGGATGGGATGTCGAGCCCACTATTTATAGAAGGCATGTATCGCATAAAAAATCAATGATTGGTCGACAGCCTTAGTAACACCCGTTTATGTGTTGATTAATTGCGATCACGTATTGTAATGAGAAGATGAGATAAAAATGGGTCAAAACAACTCCGATAACAGATAACACGGGAGAGAGAGGGAAAGAGGGAGGGAGAGAGCGGGGCATCAATTGAGTGGAGAGTGTGAACGGTGTGTACACGCAGTGAGCGAATGATAGGCCAGTATTTGACTGATTGACGGATTGAAAGCCGGAGTGAATTGATATCCAGTTTAAAGTGGTTCTGCTTTTTATGAGTTTTTGGCGAAGGATTTAAGGCAAGGAAATTGAATTACTTATGAATTTGATGGACACGTATACGAAGGCGAACACAGAATTTTGTGTTGTTTTTAAAAGTAATAAACTTAAAAAACAAGATGTTATTAATTAAGTGCACTTTTTCTGTCAGTCATCCAAAACGCTATTCACGTCTTATCTCATATTATTGTTATAACTCATCAAAAATTACTAAATATATATAAAAGTAATAAACTTAAACAACAAGATGTTATTAATTAAATGCACTTTTTCTGTCAGTCATCCAAAACGCTATTCACGTCTTATCTCATATTATTGTTATAACTCATCAAAAATTACTAAATATATGTCGAAATCATATTTTGTTTATAAACGATTAGAATCTGTATTTTGGGCACAGATTTGTATTCAATTTTAAAGTGTGTAATAACTTATAGCAGAAAGAAAACAGATAATCGGAAACAAAATTAAATTCTGTGTAATATATTAAGTTAATTATATTTATGGCTTTAGTGTGTCTTTAGGATAGACACTGATTAATAGCGTATCTATTATTCAGTTGATAACATGTGCAAAATATGAGCGTTTAATAGATATTTGTTATAGAGATTGAATTTAAGAGATTCTCCAATATTATCGCCCATTAATCTAATCTGAAGTTAAAGAAAGTCCAGATGAACACTGAATTATAAGGACAAACAGCATAGAAAATTGCATTTTTATGCCAAAACTACTTTTAAATTTCTCAAATATTGTCTTAAATCTTTCACATGGTTTTTATAAATAATACAATCATGTGAAAAAGACTTGTCTATTTAAATGTCAAAAAAAGTTAACAAATGTAAAATAAATTATAAATTATTAATGTTATCGCAAAAAATCATAAAAATTGAAATAGTAATCCCCATCATATGTTTTAAATGAAATAAAAATATCAGAATTTCGCAATATTAGCAAACGATTAATAAATAAATATTTATGTCTCGCGATAATTATTACAAAAATAAAATTCTATACTGTATTTAGTTGAATAATTTTAAAAATATTATAATTATATGCAATACCTGTACAGTCCATAGTGATACGTGACACGATAATCATTGTATACATTAAATATTTAAATTACTTATCTTTTCTTGAATTTCTAAACTTGAATTTAAATTAATTATTACAATAATAAATTGTACATGAATTATGAAATTGCATAATATAAGTTTACAATCTTATAGACTGTATGTCTATTTTTAAAAATTCATTTGATATTTTGATAATTATGTTATTCTTGTAAGCACGTATATTAAATAGCAATGAATAGTTAAACATATTCATTTAAACACGATTGCTAGTACTTTTATTAAATTTACCTATCCTAGGAATTCTAGAATAATTATTTATCTATTTAATTTACTATAAACAATTTAATCTATAAACAAATATTTTATAATAATTTTAGTCTCGAAATAAAAATGTCTAAATTATAAAATTAACATATTAACATATTAATATTTATTTTTGTTAGCACTCTGAGTACATAAATTATAAATTAAAGTATATAATGGGTTAAATAAATATTTTTAAAAATGAACCGATAATAAAAGTAAGAATAATTTGCTACAT